CATCAACTTCAGTCCGAATCAACATATATAGTGCTGGAAGTCCTCATTAGGCGGTGCCGTTTCACGTCTGGGTGCCCCCAAGTTGTCACCCCACCCCGAGGATTGCCGACTTCTCCGCAACCTCCACCACACCACCCAGGAGGCAACTTAACCCACGCTTTCTTTCACCCCTGCATCTGACATGGGCAGAGTGCCAGAGTGGTTAATGGGTATGACTCGAATTAAACTCGCAATCATATGGCTTCGGCCGCATGAGTTCAAATCTCATCTCTGTCGTGAAGATATTCCTTTTGCTTTTGTTGTGGTTGTGAGTGGGAGTTGCAGGCAGGACGTAGCCCCCACACTTGCTAAGTCTTTTTAGTGAACAGTGAACTGACGGAGTGATTATGAAAGACATAAGACAAAGTTATGCAAAAGTCCCTGCTTCCCTCGTAAAGCAAAAGTATGAAGTAGCCACCAGAACGGCCTTCCGACCCGCCAGCGCTATACTCAAAGAGGCAATTGATTGCGCCGCTCTTCTCAGCAACTGTGCGTAAAGTCAAAGAGGAGGAGACACAAAGATTGGCTTTCTCTTTCTACAACTAAAAGCCATCGAGGTTGTTGATACAAAAAACGCCTAAACAGTAACTCGCAAGGAGTTCCGACTAGAGAAGAAGTTGACAACCAGCAACTGCCACTCGCCCCTTCCTTAAGATGCCCGTCAAACTTCGCCCTGCCATCCCAGCAGACGGCCCGGCCCTCGCATCCATCTACCTCTCCGCCTTCCATGACAACCCGGTTTCCATAACATGCTTCCCTGCAACCACGCAAGTCCGCGACTTCCTCGCCAAATCTTTTGCAGAAGAGATAAGCGAACCTCGATCTCAGTGGCTCATCATCACTGATCCAGACTACGAGGACCCTGACCTACCCATCGCTTGCGCAAAGTGGGTGCGCCCAGCAGGACCCAACGAGACAAACGTCGAGCCGCCGCCTCCAGCGGACGTCTGGCCGAAAGAAGGAAATCCAGAGTTTGCGAACCACTTCTTTGGCTCCATTGGCAGGAAGCACGCTGAGATTATGGGCGAAACCAGACACTGGTACCTTGAGCTTATCATTTGCCGGACAGAGCACCAGGGGAAAGGCGCAGCCAGTCCACTTCTGAGATGGGGCGTCGAGAGGGCAGACGAGGAAGGAAAGTTGGCGTTTTTGGAGGCTGTGCCTCTAGCGAAGGGAATCTACGAAAAGTATGGATTTCAATCACTATATCGCCTGGACTTTACGACGCCCAGCTCGGGTGTTTTGTCACAGGACTTTATGCTACGGAAAGGCAAGGCGGAAGAGGATTATGAGTTGGTGTTAAAGAGGTTCAATGCATCGTCATCATAGCGTAGCCGAGAAAAGGAATCTGATGAATCCGGGTCATTACAGCCGACACGCATCATGCACACAGCCATACGGCAAGAACGAATTTTGAGAGATAGTCTCAGCCTGTATACTTGAAAGAGTAGAGCTAGAAAAGAGTTGATATCTCTCATTGCACCACTGACTTGAAGCATGGTAGACTTACACGACGTGAGTTTCAGAAACACCACATGTTATTTGGCCAAACTCATGCTAGCGCAAATCCAACAACGGGATGGATGAGCCAACAATAGTTCCCAAGGCTTGGAAAGACCTCATTCACAGAGGCACGCCAGATCCCAAACCCTGAGCCAGCGCCAGCAAGTTCGAGACGGTCCCGACACTGGCCGGCTCCCGCGTGAAGCTCTCATTGTACCCCCACTGTGTGGTGTACAGGCTATGTACACCCTGCGCAACAATAGCATTGATGTCCGCCTGGAGAGTCGCCAAAGGCGCAGGTTGATAAGGCTGCCAATCGTCATAAAAGTCGTGTACCAAGACCGCAGATTTGGCTCTCTGTGTAGCGTCCGTCGGCAGCGAGCTCAACGACGCGGGAGTAAACGGCGTGTACGTGTTTCTCGGACACCGATCCTGTGGCGCATCGGGGTCGGCCGTGTAGCACGTCTCCAGCGACAGGATGGCATCGGCAACGGTATATAGCGAGGAGCTGGCGGGATTTACGGCCACACCAGGATTGAGAACCACCACACCGGTAGCGGACTTGGCATAGTTGGTGATATCAGTGTAGTACTGAAGCTGGGCGGGAGCGGTGTTGACCTCGTCAAAGAAGATACCGTCCATGTGAATGTCCCAAGAGTTGCCGTCCCAGCCGTTGGTAGTATCCCACGCGGCGTAGGTGTCGACACCTTGCTTGACGACGGCGATGTCCTGAGGCTGGGCTTGTACGTTACCGAGGGTCGAGATGTAGCCCAAGGTCACAGTGTTGGGACGGTTGTTAATTTGGCCAATCCACTGGGCCCAGTCAATCTTGATGCCATCCTCAAAAGCAAAGGGAGGGCCGCTATTGGGATTGATGATGACGTTGAATGTCAAATCCGGGTGAGCGTCGATGGCAGCAATAGCTGCTTGCCAGTCCACGGTCCCATCGTAAGGCTTCTGGAGATCGTTGATAGGGTAGATATAAAGTGGCAACAGAATGTCGACCGCGGCAGCTGCTGTACCTAGGAGGCACGTGATTGATGAAAGAGGCTTCATGATGCTAGTTGTTGTCTGCGGTGGAACTTTGGAACGGGACTGGAGTTGATAGTCAAGACCACACTAGATAATTCTCCCATTCGGGATATTCTGATCAACTGTTCTTATACGCAAGGCAACTTATGCCAAGCCAGGCAGACCGGGCTGGGGTATTGGCGATCTACCCCGGTCTCCGCACCCCTCGCCTAGTTGTCTAAGACTTTCGACTTGGCATAGACCGTGGCGAACATGTCATGAGAACAACAGACCGGTCTGGATGAGCAACAGGGAGAAAAATGTCTCTGTTTCCAATTTTGCAATGTCATTGTACTACGGAAAAGTGTAGAAGAATGGGCAGGATCTCGACATGATGGCGGCTCAGATCGGAAAAGCCCCATTTGGTAATCTCGGACTCTAGGCAGCAGGCTGACAATGATCGTTGAAGGATATGGCTAGATATAGCAGGCTGTGCACCCTTGTTCGGAAGGTCTCGCTAGTTAAGGATCAATACCCAGAACGCTAACCTGGTTGAGTTGCGCCATCCACTTTAGTCTGACATATCGGCTTACCGGGAGTGATTCTCCATGCCGTCTATCCGTGGGTAGAGATCCTGGACATCACCTTTCCGCCCCAAAATACTTGCCCATGATGTTTCTCAGACCCCGAATCTCCTTATCAATGAGAAGTCATTTTTCACTGAGCTGTCTCGTCTGCGAAATGTTGAGCAACACCTCAAAATGCATGTAGTTTATATATCTATCACGCCCAGGTCCCGACATTGCAACTAGGATAATCAATCAGGCTTGGCAAGCCGTGATTTGTGGCAGTTGGAATACAGTTTCTCTCGATGAGATGTTTACAGAGTTAATAATAAATACTGAGACGTTTTGAACACTTGTAGTTCTGTGAGCTTGATATAGCACTGGCTATGCCGGTACTTCAGGGACCAGCCCGCGATGACAACTCCGGTACACTATGTAGTCTCCCGTCGTCAGAAGACTCAGAAGACTTGGGAGACTTCTGTTCCAGGCTACCATCCCCCTCATCGGTGTGATGAAGCTACCAGAATTAGACCTGCAATTGGGTAAGTGTGTACGTCTTGCGAATAGCAAAGGCTGGGCACATAAATAAGGCAGTAACAATTCGCACCCTTTAGAGCGATAGCCACCAGTTGTTCGCTCATGCTTGTCCAGGCTTGTTCAGCAATTACATACACAAGTAGAAGAAAGTTGGAGAAAATAGCCAATTTCATTGACGCACATCTTCTTACTATTAACCTGAAGCATATGGTCGATAATGCTGCTGACTCTTTAATGGGTTTCAACCCACCCCCATATGGTGCATGTGGGTGGCCTTTTCGCGCCCAAGAAAGAGTCTGAGTTCGGTTCCCGAGCCTTTGAGAAAAGACCAGCTTCCTGTTATAATAGACTTCGTCATCTCGAATGTACGACATAGCCTATCGGATCCCAAAGCATCTTCTCTTGATCCCGGTAAATCGAGCCCGACACCAGCGGGATGGCACGGCAGCACGGTGCTTTTCTTCCTCCGTACAATGTGCTTACTATCGGGTCATCGGAGATCATAAGGTCCGAGATCTGTGGGTGCAACTTTCGCAAAAAGTTGCCGTTGTTGCTGCGAACTCCGCCATGTTCAACGTCACTAAACCCATGATTCATGAGCCATACAGACCGAAACTGCAAATCGGATTGTGACCACTGCCTTTGATTACCTTTTTCTAGCGTGACGTAGCATTTACCCTGTTTCGGACCTTGAACGGGCTTCTAGGTGGGATCTCCGGGGGTTCAGATGGGTTTTGCCCGGTGCACCGAAGGGTCCTGGCTTTGATAATCATGCATGGTAGCGTACCACTATCCATCAGCTCTGCTCTGAAGACATGTTTTCCTTGCAAGTAATCACTGCAGTGAAGTAAGTCTCCGAGGTGGACATTCGCCGACTCCGCGTCGACAGCCGGCGCATCGGTGGACTTATTACCACCGCAAGTGGGCAAATTGCTGACGAAATAGTCCAGCAGTTGAATTCACTCTGCGCGATTTTGCCCGGAATTCAACATGGGTGTTTGGCCTGCCAGTTAGTGCCTTCACTCCATCCACGCTGCGAACCAGTGAAGTCCTTGTCGACATGGGACGGGAACGGGCCAGATTTTGACCCCAAGAGACCTAGCACCAGATCCCACGTCGACAACAAAATGGGACCTCATACAAGGTCCGTTACGATGGCCAGCCACCCAATGGACGCACCAGCGCCCGGTAACTTAAGCGGACAATCATAGAGGGCGGAGACCCGGCTTCGTCTCGGTGGAGACCGGCTGCTTGTGGTATATATCACCGGCCACGATCCCAAGGCCGTTTCCTAGGTCAATTTCGCAGTACCTGAGACTTCATTGCACTCACAACTCATTCATCATGTCAAGCGGGCCTTTCAGAGTCATCATCGTTGGTGGTGGACCTAGCGGTATCACAGCCGCGCATGCGCTTCACCACGCGGGAATTGACTTCGTCGTCCTCGAACGCAGGACAAACATCGTCGAGGATCTCGGCGCAAGTCTCGTCCTGGGTGCACCGAGCCTGCGTATTTTCCATCAATTTGGCATCCTTGATAACCTCATGGAAATTGGCGGCAAGCTGTACGAAAACAAAGGATTTACCGTCGACGGATACGCATTCAAGCATGCAGAGACACTGGCCATTTTCAAAGCGAAGTAAGTTTCTTCCTTTGGTTCCTTCGTCGTGTCTTCGCAAACCCCTATTCCCACCCCACTTCACATAGCCGTGTAAGCCAAATCGCGTGCTCGCTAACAAATTCTTCTCCATCCTCTAGCCACGGCGCAGAACCCGTCGCATTTCACAGGGCTCACCTTATCGGGGCCCTCTACGATGGTCTACCGGAAGCTGCCAAATCAAAATACTTCACCGGCAAAAAGCTCGCCGGCATCGTCTCCACGGATACGGGAGTGACCGTCACGTGTGAAGATGGTTCTTCCTACGACGGCTCCATTGTCATTGGTGCTGATGGTGTACACTCGGCGACGCGCCGGCAAATGCGCAAACTCGCCGTTGCTGAAGATCCCTCCCGCGAGAAGACGTGGGACGCTGAGAAGCCCTTCAAGACACTGTACCAGTGTATGTGGGCCTCGTTCCCGCGCCCAACAGAGACGGGCCAGAGCTATGAGACGTCGGGGACCGACAACTCGGCCATGTACATTACTGGCAAGGATAGGGGCTGGATTTTCTTGTACGAGAAGCTCCCCGAGCCCACGACGGAACGCATCTCGTTCACCGACGAACAACTGGATGCGTTTGCTGGGAGATTTGCAGACTGGCCCATCACAGACACCCTGAAAGTTAAGGATGTCTACAAGGAGCGCTTCAATGCCGGCGGTGCAGGTCTGGAGGAGGGCCTCTGCGAGCACTGGAGCTGGAACGGAAGAGTGGTCCTTGTAGGCGACGCAGCGCACAAGTTCACGCCTAACGCTGGCCTGGGCTTCAACAATGGCGTGCAGGACGTGGTGGCGCTCTGCAACAGGCTCCAGAAGTTCGTCTCTGGTTCTGCGAACGGAGCCAACAGCAAGACGCCCGACTTCTCGGCGCTGGAGGCCCAGTTCGAGGCGTACAGGCAGGAAAGGCGGGAACGCGTGGAGCAAGATCTCGAGCAGTCTGCGCGTGTGACGAGGATGCACGCGTGGGCTTCGACGTGGGACTGGATTATGTCGAGGTATGTCATGTCGTGGTCCTTTGTCCAGCAACTCTTCATCACCTTCATCGTGTCGCCGAACGCGCAGAAGTCTGGAGTATTGGACTTCATCTCGGCCACGGAACCATTTGAGGGCACTTACAAATGGCTGCATCCATTGAAAAGCATCAAGAATGGAGGTTCGGTGTAGGAAAGTAGCGAGAATTCCATTCAGTTTAGCATAGCGTGTGTTCAGATAGCATTTCAGTTGATTCCCCTCTTCACAAGTTCTCTTGTCCTTGGCTTATCGTAGGTACCGTGCTTTGTGTCCGGACTAGAAGTCGTTGTATCCGACGGCTAGAAAGAAGTAAGCAATTCGAGCTTCAAATCAATCCATCACAGATCTAGCCTATGCATTCGCTCAGTCGGTTTATGCTTATGACGATCAAGTCAGTTTTGTGTCTGGTGTTTGTCATAATTGCTGGTACTCTCGAACCTCCCGCGCCCTAGTAAGCCCAGCGAGGCTTGCTTAGATCATACAGCAGCACCTCAATCACACACCCAGCAGTAGCAGCAGCACTATATCAGGCGTGTTTCCAGGCGGCAGTCGCTGTGAGATTTTACCTACAGGTCCTGACCACCCATTAGACTGCAATTCTTCAAGGTTGTCTGCTCAGATGATCACTAGATACGAATCAAACAAACCTTCAGTTAAGCTCATCAAGAAACCCAGATCTTCAAACCAATCTCGCTATTTAAACAATCTTGTCACTCCCTCTCATATGGACGAAGCGCGGGGAAAAGAGTTGAGAGTATGGGGTGGAGGACCGGCTGGTTCGGTCTGAAATATCAGCACAGTAGGCTGAGCCACAGCCACAGGTGTCGCCCAAGCACGGATGAACATGCATGTGCTCGAAAGCTCTAGAGTTGCCAAGGGCCCCCAAGAACATCCATCATTGGCTTGCCCAGAGGTGGTTGTCAGCACCCTGCAGTCCAGGGTGGACTTGGAATACCCCCCAAAGTTGGCTAGACTGCGTCATCCCACGCGCCGAGAGGCCTGATGACTGGCTGGGAACTCAGGGCCATGGGCGCAAACCTGGTTTTGCAGCTTCCGCGTCCAATAAGCCAGCCATGTCATGATGGTCGGTCTCTTCGCGAGTACACCTCATGATGGTCCCTTATAATCATCATGAGATGCCAACCTCGGAGACTTGGAGGAGGTGAGAAGTATTTCACTCGATTCAAGCGTCACCACATCTTACAAAGTTGATGCGCATACCTAAGTCGGAATTCACCAGCACGGATAACATCACACTGAGATTCACTCAATTAGAGCAATGTATCTCACAAAAGCACTCGCCCTCGCCCTCCTCCACACTCTGGTCTCCGCCCAGACAGTAGTGACAACAATCACTGAAGCGCCCCCAAGTCCAACGGCAGAGCCACAGTGGACATCAGACAACACATTCACCTCGGCAGTCCTCAATAGCACCAATTTCTATCGCGGCGAGCACAATGCGTCCTCCGTAACGTGGAATGAAACCCTCGCCGACTTCGCCACCGACTATCTTGATGACATGTCGGGCGACAGCTGCGACTTTGAACACTCGGGCGGTCCCTACGGCGAGAACCTGGCCAAGGGATACCCCAACACAACAGCGAGCGTTGAGGCGTGGGGCGAAGAGCGCGACGACTACAATTTCAAGAAGGGCGAATTTGACGAGGAAACGGGTCATTTTACACAGCTTGTATGGAAGGACACGACGGATGTCGGATGCGGCCGCAAGTTATGTGGCGACGGCCAGTGGTATCTTGTGTGCGAATACTGGCCGAGGGGCAACGTCGTGGGTCAATTCACAGAGGAGGTGCAAAGTCAAGAGTCGTTAGGTGTGCGAATGAGCTCCAGTATCACTCCATATCTGTTTGCTATGGCTGGGAGTGTGACTGCATGGATTTTGTCTTGAAGAGGCATTCATCGCCGGCGCTTATTTAGGTGAATGAGAGACCCTTTCCTGATAGCAATCTGACATTGAGAACAAGGGTTCCGGTTCTACCCCTTCAATTGCATATTCCAGGCTTATTCGTGACAGCTAAACTCATTCATCCGAACCACTCCCGGACATTTAACACACATCTCGTGCCCATCTCATAATACCCGTTACGGCGCCTCATTCACATCAACGCCTTTGAGATCGCACAAAGCCCATTCGAAGGAAGTTTGTTGTCACCCATCGAGGCTTAACTTATCAAAATGTCAATCCAACAGACGTTCCCTTCCCCAGATCCGAGGTTTTACAAGTTTCGCGGAGGAAGGGAGAATCGCGACAAGGATGGCCAAGCCATGGTAAGGGTGGAGGAGCTTTTCACCTCCATGTTCAGGTGCGAACAGTCAGGCATCACATACGCTGCGGGATCCTGGGGTTATACGGGTAAGTGCTCACGACTTTCCATGCCCACCCATCCTGACATTTTCGATTATCGATGACGCTGGCGGCTGACTTGTTGGGACAGTCCTGCGCACTGCATACTCAGAAGAGTCCAACACTCTCTGGCCGATCGCGATGGACAAACTCAATCGATGGGTTACTCAGTACTTCATCCACGCTAACCGTCTCGTGATGAACAAGCCCGACGGTGAGGTCAACGAGGAACTTGCACGCCGGTTCATTCTCGAGGTCGTCGAGGACAAGGAATCTGAGAAGCTCAAGGTTCCTGACCTTTCCATCGCAAGCCAAGAGACCGTCCAGACACTCACGCAGGTATTTGAGGAGTGGCGTCGCGGTGCAATTGGTGACATCAGTTCCGGCCTAAGAGAAAGCCCAAGATTCTGCGACTTTCTCGTTATCGACGAGGCCTCCGTGCGATCTCTCGCTGCCCTTCCCGACGACCTGCCGTCGACAGAACTCGTGCCTCGCGCAGAGAGAAGGGTAAGTCGTATCTGTTCAATATTTTTGTCAAGATCCGCTGAGCTGACAATCTAATAGGCCCGCAACCATATCTGGGCCGGTGTCCACGTTTGGCTCGTCGACTCGCTAGCAGTGCGACGGTTCAGCGGCACTGAAGATGAAGATAACTACGACGGCTGGATGAGGCTTAGCCCGCATGACCTAGCGGATGCATGGTTCGAAAAGGTTGAAAGATCCTCCAGCGAGAATTGGACCTTCGAACGCGTCGATATACCCGAAGGGTCAGGGGAGAAATGGTACACTCAGCGGTAGCAGACCTAGTGAAGCTGAATGGCAACTCGACGAAAGTTTATTCTACTACGTCAATGAATAGCACGCCCAGGCGCCCTTTAAAGCTTTACAACGGGAATAGGAAATACATTTTTACATCATTCGAATGAAGATATTCTTAAGTTGTTACAACCCGGTCCTGCGTATGTTTCCGCTGAATATGAGCCACCTTTCCTCCTGGATGATAGATTGAATGCGAGAGTAATTTTTGTCGTGTATGAAAGCAGCTCTGGAGCATGCAAGCCACTCTACTGCAGGTTCATGGAAAGAATCCCGTGGTATCAATATCTGGAAGGCTGTTGAAGGCATTCACCAAGTTCTGGCGTATGGAATTGTCAACAGCGTTGCCAGTAACAGCAGGGTTGCGAGCCAACTCGGGGAGCCATTGGTTGCCGACTTCCTGAGTGACGTCCTTCATCTTCTCAAGTGTAGTTTTGAACCATTCATCAAAATGGTTTACTGCGTTCGGGCTGGCACCGCCGTGAGTACTCGCGTAATGCTGCTCTGCAATCCGGAGCAGGTCGCGGAAATCATTGACGACCTTTTTGAGCTTGTCGTGAAATCCTGGACGCAAATGGTATCGGTAGACGGAAAGGACCTGCGTCAAACATGGTCATTAGTACCCACGGTCCATGCAGATGACCTTTATTGATTTGATGGAAACCCTACCTTTTTGATCTGGTCCAGCGCGTCTTTCGGGCAATTTCCATACACAAGATTCTCCATCTTCGTGGGGGAAACGAGGTCGTCTCTGAGTGTCCATAACTATAAATCGACCATCAGTCGTTATTCCGGCTAGAACGTGGGAATATGTGAACAGTCTCACCTTCTCCTTAAGCAAATTCGCGTCTTTGATCATCAAGGTCATCACCCCGCGATTCGTCTTACTGCCCAGCGTATTCATCAACATGTTCTGAATCGTTTGACCTGCCGCGTTGGTCTGCTGTAGCGACACAGTGAAGAAGTCAAAAGGTACAGCATATCTAGATTCACCGACATCGGCAGCAAGTCGCCCAAAAAGCGCATCATCTCCCCAAATGGATGTCATCTTGCGTTCAAAGGGGTGATCGTCTGCAAAGCAAGCGAGGCCGAAGTCAGCTCGTGTAGTCGAAATGTACAGAAACACAACTTACTCTCGTATCCCTTGATCATCGGACCCGTGGGCCCATTGGGAAGGAGATCGATGACGATTGGATCAAAGTTGGCACAATTTGGGTCGTATGTCCAAGCATCGGCAAAATGTGTTCTCTCTGTGTTCACGTTCAAGTCGCCAGGGGAGGGATACTGTTCCGAATTTTAGTATGGCCAAAAACATCATGGGTCTCAGGACTTCAACATACGGATGGTGCGTTCCAAGGCAAACTCGCTTGGGCGCGTGTAAAAGGGTCGACAGCAATCCAAGGATAAGGCTTCTTTTCGCCTCTCTTCTGCAGAGCTGTCGTCTCGCCGTCCTTGCTCCAGTTGATGCAAGTATCGTCGTCCTCAGCGCAGCAATCATCTCTAGTGCAGGCACAGGTAATGGTGCAGGTACCATCGCCATCACCATCACCTCCTTTGATGGCAGCATTGATGCTTCCTAAGTTGCATACGACGTATCGGGGCCATTGGGTGCCCAATTGGAGATAGTAGTCGTACCCTTGAGCCTGCTGGTAGTCGTGAAGATTGGCGTAGGACAGACTATTGAACTCAGAGTACGAGAGCATTGTGTTGTTCCAGATGCTCTTTGTCGACTCTCGCGGTGTTCCCATGAAGAGCTCCGAAACCATCTTCTCCATGTACTGCTCTGTCGCGAAACTCTGGATATCGCCAATACCCCAAATCTGACGGCTAACAAGCGTGCCTGGAGAGCAGAGGTAGTGTTAGTAACATACATCGCGCTACGTGGACAGGTTTATATGCTCAACAGACCATTCGAATAGGAGACAGATCGCTCATCTCGAGCCTTGAGCGGGTTTCCGAAAAAGATGTTACTTGAACAGACAGGATTCGACATGAACACTGGTGGAAAGCAACGTGGATTAGCAGCTAATTTCCTGGTCGCTTCAAAATCACTCACACTTGATGTGACTCTCAAAGTATTCGTCCTCGCTGTTTTCATACCGAGTGGTTGAGGTCGTCCAACCAGGCTTACAACACCTTGCCCTAGCACCACCGCCTGAGCATCCCGTGTGCTCCATGGCAACCATGGTAAGGCCACCAGAGCATGACGGGTCGCAGAACTTCAAGCCTGTGTCTTCATCTGTCCACTATTTCAATAATTAGCTCGGTGTGATTAGTCAAAGGTCCCGTCACTCGGAGAATGATACACCATCACCCAACGCTTGGCCTCCAAAGCCGGACTGGGTGACTTACATCTGTCATGCCTTGCCATTCACAGTCCTTCCACTTTTTGTCTTCTTCAGGTTGATCGCAGCAGTACTTGTTCTTCTTTGAATCTTCCATACCTCCCTTGTACCAGGCTCCCCAGCACATTGCATCACCACTACCGTCACCGGAGAACGCGATGACGTCGGAACCGCAGGTAGCCTTTTCGCAACTTGGCCAGGTGCTCGAAGCAATCTTTGCACTCCAGTCACATTGAGAATATAGCTTCATGTTGTCAGTTTCCACTGAGCAACAAGCTGCTTGATAACTCCTGATTGGCGAGAAGCCTCCACCCTGGGTGTGGCAGTACTCGTTGTTGCTGCCGATTTCCTTATAGCCGCTGGGGCAGGATTTACCACCTAAGAGACGAGTGTCAGATAACTTAACCGTCAACAGGGAAAGTAGCATACTTACTATCGCAGTCGCCATTGTTGTGTTTATACCACCCGCAAGTTGGCTTGTTGCCGGGAGGACAGCATAACTTACTATCAAGCAATGTCAGTCCGAACGCTTTAATGCAAATTCAGCAACTCACTGCTCTCCACGGCCACCGCAGCCTGCTCCATTGACCATGTACTCGTTCTTCCCTGCACCTGGGCCACTTCGCATCATACGAGTCCAGTCTGAAGGGCAATTTTCATCGCAATTGGTCCATCGACATTGTTTGTGCTCCTCAACATCGGTGACATAACCGTCGTCTTCTTCCGTAGCCATCTCAGAAGTGAATAGTCTAGGAGCGACGCGAGACAGAGCCATCGAGTATTTTCCTGCTCTGGTGTCGTGTGAGATGGCCCAAACCATGACACCGCCGAGGCATAGACTGCGAGCGTAGTCCGCTTTGAGACGAAGAGTCTCCTCATCGTCGAAGGTGAGCCAGTTGTTGCCGCCCCAGGTGACAATCTTAACGGCAGCATCTTTGTTCAGTGTTGCCTTGGCCCCCTGCTCAGAAACGAGCTGGTCAATCTCTGAGTTTAGGGCGACGCCAACTTCGGCGCTGCAGGCTTGAGCGTACGTTCCCGACTCGTATGTACACCCGGGAGACATGCAGGAAGAACTGCTGGCGATGAAACCGCGTCCATAGAAGGCGAGGCCTAGCGTGACTTTGTCCTTGTCTACACCATTGCGCCAGAGGAGATCAAGACCCCCCTTGATCTCAGTCAGGTTCGTATGGCTGTTCAAGTATGGTCCAACACTGTTCCAGCCGACATTAGCCATTGTACTGCGCAATCATAGTCCGATGACAAATGACGCCTTTGGAGAAGACACTCACAACTCGTTCGGCTTATCCCATACACCATGGAAGTCATAGGTCATCATGTTGAAGAAGTCCACGTGCGGGGAGAGAGCCTTGAGATCAAAATGCTGGAGATACCCTGAGGAAGATGGTTAGACATCGTTGGCAAAGTGGAGAGGGCTCAAGGTCAGCTCACAATAAGAGGCCGGAAGTGTGATACTAACTTCGTATTTCTTCAAAGCGGCTTTCAGACTTTTCATGAATTTCGGAAAGTTGGCAAAGTCCTCAGGTCGTCCGCTTCGATCGTCGGCCTCGGGATATTCCCAATCAAGATCAATGCCATCCTGCAAAGTAGCATCGATGTTAATGAAATGCTCTGTTGTATGCGCCATATTGGCACAGTGTTTTTACTTACCAAGTCATAGGTTTCCAACATCTTGATCGTGGAATCGAAGAACTTCTTCTGGGCACTAGCAGACCTCGCAATATCCGAGAAAGTCGTCGCAGTTGGACCTGGGTCATTGAATGTCCAGCCGCCAACAGCAATCAGAACTTTGAGATTGGGGTCCTTGGCTTTGAGAGCAGAGACTCGCTTGTACATCTCGAGGTCTTCCTTCTTGGCAGGCACAATCTCAAAAGTCGTGGGATTGATGCTGGCAAAGGCAATGTTGATGTGAGAATAAACGCCACGAGGAATTTGCTCTGGGTAGAAGCGGTTGCAAGACCGCGAGGCAGACCATGTCTCATAGTATCCCACGACACGCTTGAACTTGCTACTCTTGTCGACGGTACAGCTAGGCCTGCTGACCTTCTTGTTACCGCAGAACTCTTCAGTGGTTCCGCAGAAACCGTGTTTTGAGCAGCAAACCTTTGATAAAGCACGTGGTCAGTGGAGAACTGTTTGGTATCAAAAAGACTACACTCACGTTCAGCGGACATGCTGTCTTGTTGACGTAGTCTTTGCCAAAGCCACCAGGGTCGCATTCTGCTTTGCGATCGCAGTTGTTAGTGCAGACGGATTTGCTACAGTCTGAGCTGTGTATCAGTACTCAGGAATCCGGTGAAGAAGCAGACACGTTGGGTTTGTGCTTACAATCAGCTCCGAAACCACAGAAGCCGAATTTACTGCAACATCCGACCTTGCATGGTAGAGATGCGCTGCACTCGGTACCCTCCTGAGCGTTGGTACTTGCGAGCAGGCATGAAAGGAAGATTAGAAGAATTAGAGAGAAGAAACTCCTCGAAGACATCATCATGCCCAACCTGCTCGATCGAGACGGTCGAGACCTGATTAGTTGAGTATAGAACTTGGAAAGACAGAGCGCAAAAGCGAAGAAGTACACTCTCAACAGGAAGTAGGCCAGTGTAATATTTCAGCGGTCGAGGGCACCACACCCATACGATACTCGGCCCCTTGGTCCATCAGATGTCATACCCTTGATATTCCGAGATAGACTCGATAACTTCATATGCAGTCTTCAGGGGCCCGCGGAAGAGTGGGAGTGCTTCGGAACGGGCGACATCGCCGTTTTCGCCACTGCGAATAGCTTCCTCTGCTCATTTTCGCGGTGTTGCGTGACTCAAACTCAATCTTCGGAGATTGGCTGACGGACTTTGATCGAAACTGGAAGACGAGGTGCATCAGGCATAGTCCACAATCACGCGGTGCTTCCTTCAAGCAGTACCCATGGCGAGCCAGGAAAGTCTATAGTCTTGCTTGCGTATGCGGCTGCCTGAACGAAGCGTGTCCATCCTCTTTGATACTTGCATCACAGGAGATCCAACGGCAATGAAGGGTCAGCTCATTAAGTATATTACTGGTCAGAATGTACGAACAATCACGGGAGCAAGTGAAAGTCCGAAGAAATCAGGGTTCAGGACCCTGAATAGCGCGCCCCATTATCCAGGATGGCAATCCGTCAACCGTGATATGCCCCATGCTCATCAACTCGCCAAGGTCGATGATTTGTGAGAGGAATTCTTTCTTCAGTCGAGACATAAGCTTGTTTCCTCGCGAGCCGGCTTGGCTATCCCGGAGCGGACCGACCGATCTCAAAGAGGAGAGATTGCCGGCTGTACCTGGCAGACCGGGTCAAGTGCGATGCAACCCATGCATGCGCGTTCGATTTGGCATTTCGTCGCCTGATGACTGTCGAGGATTGTATCCTTGACGGTGTGTCTCCGCCTCTTTCCGGAATCCAGCACTCCGTATAAGATATTTCTCTCTCAAAATGGCTGCCTAGCGGCCGCTGCGAGGACATATTTGCCACGACCCACCATTTTCCATCGGAGAGGACTCCGGAAGCCCTTGCATTAGTGCTGATTGCCCATCAGGACCTGCAGGAAATCATGGTATTCTAAACTTCTTCATTTACACAGGAATGTGGTCAATCGGAAGAATGAACTTATTAGGACTAGAGATAGGTGTGGAGAGTGGACGTATGGGCTTACTGTTAAGCATAGCCAACAAACTGCATACCCCAGTGCAAGCCATTATCGTAGGGCCAGAACGATCATGAACTCACAAAAACGAACACCCTTGTCCTGCCCGTGCTCCTCGCCAAGCACGTAAGCTTATTATTCTTCTTGCTTCCCACTCCACAGCCCAAGGGTCATGGCGGGGAGACCAACTATGTTTGGGACTTTGGTCAAGTAAGGGTCTAAGTGCATATGCAACGACGGGTGACTCCGGAAATGAGACATTCAATTATCGGTCTCATGACAGGATGGAGTCTTGCTGAACAGCGCTTGGTATAGATGATAACTGGAATCACCTTGAGTTTGTGACATTCTGTCTTTCTCACACGCATGCCTCGTTGAATTTCACCAGGTTCGTCGAAACCTGCAAAGTCAAGCACGATGGGTCGTCTCAACGTCCTGATGAGCAGCCTGATATTCTTAGTCACTCTTTTCGCATGTCTTGCAACAACTGTCTCGGGTCATCAGCACTCGCATCACAACCATGCTCACCTGCATGCTCGCGCCGACAACAAGAACTCCAGTGCCGCGAACATTGTAGAGGAAGCACTCGCTGCTCTTAAGCTTCTCAACAAAGCCAGAGTCGAGAATCCACACTTTAACAAGTATGAGTTTCATTCTGGCTCCAAGACACCGAGTCTTGCCCCGGCTTTGGATGCGCCTGCCGTGATTAGCAATGATACTACGTTGAGAAGACGTCAAAGCCAGAACAACAGCAGTGCCGAGATCTCCGCTCCCAATTTCTCTATCTCTCCTGAGCTAGCCGAGGCCGCCAAAGCTCTGGCAGAGTCTACGCCTCAAGTTCCTAAGGGAAACCACAGCGAGGTGGCTAAAGCCATAAGAGAGAAGTATGCACACAAGACAAATGACACCAATACTTCAGAGTCGCTCAAAACTCCCGAGGGGCGGCTTTCGGTATACGGAGATGACAAACTGAGCAAGCGTGCCGAGGAGTGGTGGATGGTCAGCATGGGCTCATCCGGAACCAGTCCCTTCGCTCCTAGCGGTTACAAAGTGAGTGTAATTCTTAACCAAATCATCATCGGAGAGACTGAAAACATTGACTCTACGTAGGTTTGGAGAAACGTGAAAGATTATGGCGCAAAAGGCGATGGTGTGACAGATGATACAGATGCTATCAACAAAGCCGTGAGCGACGGCGTTAGATGCGGTCCTGACTGTGGCTCGAGCACGATTTATCCTGCTGTCGTTTACTTCCCGCCAGGGACGTATCTGGTCAGCAGTCCGATCGTTCAATACTTTAACACAGAATTCCTCGGCAATGTGAGTTAACATTGGAGATCAACGCTTGTGAGTTGCTGACATCAATGTTCAGCCTCTCGATGTACCAACACTGTTGGCTGCGTCAAGCTTCGTGGGCCAAGGTGTCATCAAGAGTGATGTCTATATCAGTGATGACGAGGAATGGTATGTGGAAATCCCTCTGGATGCTATCTCTGTGATGTGGCATATGCAACGTTAACGTTCCGGCGGTCTTGTCTGTTGTTGACTTCCTCTATCTCAGGTACCTGAATACTGCAAATTTCCTTCGAAGTATCAAGAACTTCAAGATTGACATCAGACCCGCATCTTCATGGACTTACATGTGTGGGATCCACTGGCAAGTCGCACAAGCAACATCTCTGGAAAACATCGAGTTCTACATGCAATTTGAGTCGGATGTTCCTGGCAACAATCAACAGGTTAGTTGATCTCTGAAATGCAAGCACCCTTTTACTCAAGAACACGTATCTCACATAGACCTACAGGGCGTTTACATGGAGAATGGATCGGGTGGCTTCCTAGCTGATCTCACCTTTGTTGGAGGTGCATTTGGGTATGCTTCCCGCCATTCTTCTGGGAAGAATGCTCTGCAGAGACTGACCATTTGGTAGAGCATACTTCGGAAACCAGCAGTTCACGACTTCACACCTAGTGTTCGTTAATTCCGTTGTTGGTGTCCAGGTCCACTGGGACTGGGCCTGGACTATGCAGGACTTCATCTTTGAAAGTTGCGGGACCGCGCTTCTCGTCGTCGGCGGTGTAAGCCAGCCATTAACTTCTACTTGATTTTGGAAAGGAATTTGACAGAACAAAACCTAGGCTGGAGGTCCAAAGTCGACTGGACAAGGAGTGGGATCACTCATATTGGTGGACTCCATCATCGCAAACACCCCTAAGGGCATCGTCACAACGCTCTATGCCGAGAATTCTACCTCATTTCTGCTGCAAAATGTCGGGTTCTTCAACACCATAACGGCAATCACTGACAACGAGACTGGAAACATCCTCCTGAACGGCGGTAATTCTGTTGTTGTCGATAGCTGGGGTTTCGGTCGTATTACGAACGCTACCACGGGTGCTGGGCAAACATCCTTTGTCAATGGCGAACACATCGCTGTCATGGAGCGAAACGAGGGCTTGTTGGGTGACGCCTATGACAACCTGAAACCGAATCTTTTCACGAGAAGACGACCCAAGTACCAAGACGTTCTTTCTAGCAAGGTCATGAACGTCAAGACACTTGGTGCCAAAGGCGATGGCAAGACGGACGACACGAGCGCGCTGAATTCAATCCTTCAGGGTGCCGCGAATACCTCTTCCGTTGTATTCTTCCCCTACGGTGTTTACCTTGTGACGGACACTCTTCGCGTACCCGTCGGCTCCCGTATCATCGGACAGGTTTGGCCCCAGATCATGGGCACAGGAGACAAGGTTGGTAAAAGACCGTCTAAAATTGGTGTGTCCACCAAGTACTGATAAGCTAATTCATTCTATTCACCCACAGTTCTCCGACGAGACCCAGCCAAGAGCCGTGGTTGAGGTTGGTAAAGCTGGAGATGTTGGAATTGTAGAAATCACAAGTATGATGGTTACCGTCAAGGGGCCCACCGCAGGCGCCGTTACCATCGAATGGAACGTTGCTGAATCGAGCACCGGATCTGCTGGCATGTGGGGTGAGAGTTCCTGTTCAGTTCGAAATCATTCTTGGCAGGCGTCTAACAGCATTGCTTGACAGATACACACGTTCGTATTGGCGGTGCAGCGGGGAGTGATCTATCCACCGCAAATTGCCCCAAAGACTCTGGAATCGTCAACTCAAGGTGCAAGGCTGCTTCTCTTCTGATGCACTTGAAGCCCAAATCAACTGCATATCTCGAGAACGTTTGGCTCTGGACTGCAGATCATGACCTTGACAAGATCACTCTCGATCAAATCGACATTTATGCCGGCCGTGGTCTCCTCGTCGAAAGCGCAAAGGCTTGGCTCTGGGGAACCTCAGTAGAGCATAATGTCTTGTACCAGTATCAGTTCTCCAACGCGAAGAACGTGATCATGGGAATGATCCAGACGGAGTCTCCTTACTTTCAACCCGTTCCTAAAGCACCCACACCGTTCGCGACTGGCCTGTTTCCCAACGACCCGACATTCAGTGGCTGTGTGGCTTCCTCCTCCGCAACATGTGCCGTCTCTTGGGCAGTCCGAATCATCGACTCTTCTTCCATCTACATGCTCGGTGCCGGACTCTACAGCTGGTTCATCGATTATAGTCAGGACTGTTTAGACACAGAGAACTGTCAGGAGCGCGCTATGGAAGTGCAGCAAAGCAAGGACATCTGGATCTACAACCTCTGCACCAAAGCTATCGTTGAGATGGTGTCGCCTTTGGGTAGTGTTCCAACATATGCCAAAGACAACGTGAATGGATTCCTGGCCTCCGTCTTAGCATGGCTTCAGGGTTCCACTGACGTAGCAGGCGAGCGCGAGTTTGAAGGTTATCGTGTATGGACGAGCGGAATGCTGGAACAGCTCTACGGCCTCGTCTTGCCAGAGACCTGCAGCAGTGCTTTGACCGAGATCATTGCATGTGATAATCGCACTGAAGATTATCAAGGACCTGGTATTCGCAGCTGGCTTGGGAATGTCAACGATACCGACAGCGTGTGCGCTGAGTCTTGCGGAAAGAGCCTGAAGACTTGGTTTGACAGTGTTTCCATCGCTTGCGCGGGATACGAAGTCAACGATGCGCTGCCAACTCTTCTCGGAGGCCGCATTTGGGATGGGTGGAACCAGACTTGTTTGAAGGATACCGACAGTGGCAAGTATTGCGGTGAGATCATAGACGGCTTCACCACGGTCTCTACCATTGAAGAGATGCCCAAGAACGAGCTTTGCTCATTCTGCTGGGTGGAGCACTATGCCATCCCTCAACGTTCACGGTACTCCAAGTACGACTCCTTTATCCAGTCTCAATATGAGTATACGGTCACCGAGTGCGGTACAGCCGGTGTCAACACGACTATACCCGAGACACCACTCATCATCGAAGATCCGGCAACTTACTGTCAGACTGACAAATGGTACACTACGGCTGAAGGGGACACATGCGACACAATAGCCCAGTCGAACAGCGTTTCTTCAGCAACACTTTACTTCGAGAACCCAGACACGATCTTCGATTGCTTCAATATCGAGGCCGGCTCCAAGCTGTGCATCCCGCCGCCCTGCACTCTCACATGGGTCATCCAGCCCGACGATACCTGCGCCTCAATCGAGTACAACCTGACCATGACAGCCGTTACGCCGGTACTCGGCAACACCCAGAAGTACAATCGGTGGGTGGACAAGAACTGCGAAAATTTACACATTGCCAGCGCTGCCACCTTTGGCCACGTTCTTTGCATGTCACCGCCGGACGGCGCCTACGCTGGCAATGACACCGTCAATGGAGACACTACCACGCCTACCAACGCGCCGGGTTACAGTGAAGAGATCATCGATCCGCCTGCGGGAGCAACGGTCGCGGATGGTACGACTGTGTATTGTGGGTCATGGCATGTCGCGGCCGTCAACGATACCTGCAGCACCATAGCCTTCAGCAGTGGCACGACGATTACTCTTTTCTTGGAGGTCAACCCTTCTCTTGGAACTGAGGTTGCGGGTTGCACCGAGAAGTTGGTACAAGGAAATGCGTACTGTGGACTGCCTTTCGTTGTTTGGGATGAACTGGATGGCTCTTGGTGATAGTAAAGCTGGACTATGCGGGATCCCTTAGTCGTATTCCTATTCTAAACCTCTGGAAACTTAATAGCAGCAGTCGAAGCCGACGCCCAATTCATCTCCATGTCCGTTCGAATACCTACTTAGACAAGGTGAGACTGATGACATGGCATCTATCATCTCAATGGCCACATGTACCTTAGTAATGCAATGTTATCATCTTTCTTGTTGTTACCCTTTCTTCTTGTTACCCGGCCTGCCTTACCCAAGCAGAATTGAGTTGGTATGATGCCTGACTCGAGCCGAAGTCTCTCCCCGCCGCCGCCGCCGTAGCAACTAATCTCCACAAATTCGAGTTAACCTCAAAATGGGTTGGGTCATGAGAGCCGGTCCTCCTTATTCTTTGTGACCCCTTCATTATGTCATCCATCCAACCTGTCCAACAAACAACCCCGCGTCCACGAGTAGGAACCCCGTCATTAGCAATCGGCTTCGCTCCTCCTGCGTAAATTGTCCGTTTGCCAACTTTGGGCCCCAGGTGCTGTCCTTCTTCACGATCACTGCCTGAGCGAAAGCTTGCATCATCGAGGATGGGGTTGAACGTGGTGTTGTTGGCCCAGGCACTAGGCGCGCTCGCAGCGTTCTACGTTGCAAAATTTCTTATCCGGCTGATCCAGGTCAGGTCGAGAGTGCGGGCCGTCTCCAAAGATCATGCAGTGGTATGTAGTCAATCTGGAAAGCTCATATGCGCCGAGTACTTGTCTTGATGTGGATCAACCCAACTGACTGATGATGCGCTACAGGATGTTCTTCCGCACTCGTTCATCTTTGGCCACCTATTGCTTGTTGGCAAATTGATGGCAAAGCAACCTCCGGGACTCAATGGCCAAGTGCTCCCGCTTTTACTGTTGAGAGAATACCCGGACCTCTGCAAGAAAGGGCTAGTCTACGTAGACACCTGGCCCATCGGCCCGCCCATGATTGCCGTCTTTCACCCAAAGATTGCAGATCAATTCACACAGGAGCGTTCGCTACCAAAACATTCCATGATGAAAGAGGAGTTTCACCCACTGACGGGCTGCGATGATCTTGTCAACATGGAGGGCCAGACGTGGAAGACATGGCGGGCCGTGTTTAACCCAGGGTTCTCAGCTCGGAACATCCTCTCATTAGTCCCTGCAATGGTTGAAGAAGCATTAGTTCTCAAAAAGTCTTTCGAGGCTCTTGCTGACTCGGGAGCAACTGTTGCTCTGGAGGACGGTGTTATGAAGGCCACTGTAGACGTCATCGGCAGAGCGGTTCTGTGAGTCCCTCCACTCGCCCCCATGAGGGGTTTCGATTCGAGAGCTTTCTCGGAAATTTGCTTCAGCTGACTGCTCTGTCCTAGGGGGACTCGCCTCAATGCACAAACAACAAACTCTCCCGTTTTCAGAGCTCTGCAGAAGCAGATTGGCTTGCTGATCCCAGACAATAGCCCGCCTAATCTCCTAAAGTCTATCAATCCCTTGCGGCCGTTTCAGATGCTTTACTACAACTACGTCATGAAGCGCGAGATCGTTCCGCATATCGAGCGACAGCTCAAAGAAAACATATCAGAAAGAAGCAATAGTAATGGTCCCAAAACCGTCAACAGTCTAGCAATAACTTCCTACATCAAAGAGGTGTCCGCAGCTGGCTCCAAAGCCGAAGCGAAGCTCGACTCTCAATTCATCGACATTGCCGTTTCTCAGCTCAAGATATTTCTACTTGCAGGTCATGATACCACGGCTAGCGCTCTCTGCTTTGCCTGGTATCTTATGAGCAAGTATCCCGCTATTCTCGAGAAGGTGCGGTCCGAACATGATGAAGTCCTTGGGAGCGATGCAAGCGCCGCAGCATCTCGGATTGTCGAGAACCCCGCGTTGCTGAACCATCTTCCCTATACCAACGCCGTGCTGAAAGAAACGCTCCGCCTCTACCCACCAGTCGGGACGGTACGACAGGGAGCTCCCGATGTGTTTATCACCGACCCGGAAACAGGCGAGCGATTCCCCACCGACGGGTTCATGATGTTCGTGGCATCGCAAGCGATGCACAGATGGGACACGCTTTGGCCAGAACCTGACACAGTCATTCCTGAGAGATGGCTAGTCAAGGAGGGCGATCCTCTTCACCCAGTGAAGAGTGCATTCCGACCCTTTGAGCTGGGTCCTAGAAATTGTATTGGCCAGGAGCTGGCTTTCGTTGAGATGCGACTCATCTTGGCGTTGACTGTGAGAGAGCTTGAAGTTGTGCCGCAATTTCCCGAGGACGCGCCAGAGGTTTTTGGGGAGAAAGGTTTCCAGTGGATGACAGGAACACAGATCACCGCTCATCCTAAGGAAGGGATGCCAGCTAAGATCGTTAGGAGGTAACAGGTTCTTGGGTTTGTTTCAAATCCTTTTTCGAGGGAATCGATGAACGTGTCCAATCAGTTCGTACTTCCACGAGCTTGTCTTTATCTGCAGGAAAGGGTGGCAGTTAGCACCTTACGTGTGACACTCACAACCAGTTCAAGAAATAACTAAACGCCCTGGACGCCCCCGCTTTGTAACACTCAAGACGTGAGAATAAGCTTTGGTGGTAAAGACATTCTATGAGAGATTCCATTTCGGGAAGAGACATCGCTAGTGCTGACGCTCGGCACCCATGTCTTTGCTCAGACAGCTGTGCTGAATAGACGGGAAATCTGTTGGTATCCGTATCACAGGATGATTGGTTCGAACCGTGGGTTGACGAAGAGGTCAATTTAACTATATGATCTTCTGCGTAGGTGTAAAAAGGAAGTTCCAACCGTAGGTTGGGCAGGCCGCGGTAATCGTAAGTAGGGGCCGTAATTGGCCCCTGCGCGGGCACGCTTACGTCGAGGTCGATTTGGACTTCCAATCCGACAAAATCGTCGCATTTTGGATCAACAGCGAATCAGACTGTATCTTACTTCTAAAGCCGGAAAAATTGAGTTGACAACACAAGTTGACAAACACAAGTTGACAAACATAAGTGGCCTTTGTCATTCCTTGTCGTATCCGAGCGAAAGATCAACCCATTGGGCAGACCGTTTCTTGAGCCGTGTGTTGCTGTTCGCGGACACCCTGATTTCTTCTCACTCATCCATTACCGATGGTGAAGAGAGAAGACGACGCGCTTTGCGTCAAACCATTAGCCTTTCATTTACTCCAAAGCTACAAGCGAAAAGCCTTCGCTGCCCCAATGTGCACATGCGGCTTGCGGATGCGGCACGCTGTGCCAAGTCGGCACAGTGCCTTTGCTTATCACAGCTTTGCGTGGGTCCCTAAAATATCGCGAGAGTCCTCTTTCTCGGTGAAAGATCGTTGTCGGCTCCGAAACCCTGCTCCCAAGGTCTTGGCTTTTTTGAGTTACGACGGGTCAATGCGACCTCGACAGCTTGATCCAAAAAGGTCTCATAGCTAAGCCTACAGACAAGAGATGGCTGACAGAACTCTGCCCCAGCTTTAATACAACCACAGACCAAGCCGGAGGGAGACTTCACGATATAAGCCTCGAATTAAACTATGTCCACTCAAGTTCCAACTCAATTCCTTATGTCCGCAAAGAAAGCTCATTCAAAATTACAGCACACCCTGGAATTTTGGAGTCACTTGCTGCATCGGGCCTGAAGTCCATTCGGGGATAGCTCCATCAGCCGTCGGGGATCCCACTCGGTTGCATCTACCGGCAAAACCCCCCGCCTTGTTGTGCAGGTTTAGCTGTCAGCGCTAATAAAGATTCTCTCTTTTATTCGTCAAATCGAGGGCAATCTTTAATATGAACCTGTCAGGTCTTGGGGCCGTCCAACGCCGCCCTCGGGAACCGCTCCTTACCCGCTGTTGGCTGGGTGGGTGAAGACAGCCTTGTTTGCCTTTTGCATCGTCCAATTCCTACGATTCCTCGTTGTCTAGCGTATATTGATAATGTGGGACATATCGCTCAAGAAACTTGAGATGCTTGGTCCGCTTCCTTGGCTACATGTAATTGCACATGCCCTTCCATGCGGAAATGCTCTGGTGATTGTTTCCGGCAGCACCACCTCTGTTCTGTGCGTGATAGCACATCTAATCATTACCAAGCATGGATATTTGATGCACGCAAGTCTACTTGAAATGATGTATCACGAAACTTGGCCCGACGTGCATGCATATCACTCTTGAGCATCAGACGAACCGGGCAAGACTTTAGCAGGAAGGTATAGCCCGAGCGGCGTAAGTCTCGTTTGGTTGCTAGCGGGGGCGAGCTGAGCATTGCAACCTAAACTGGGTTAATAGATTGAGTCGCATTCTCGAAAGCAGCCTGCACCTTGGCAGCACTAGGACTTGAGCCTGGGCCAAAGGGAGGCAAGAGATGGAGCCGAAAGATGAGCATTGGGAGGAGGGGAAAGTCGGGGCTCCAAGACATCACGCTGTGTATAGAAGCTAGACCCCGGTCAGTTCTGATGATTATAAATGAGGTCTTCTGACCGTTGGCGTCTGGTGAATGAGGCGTTACTCAAGGTCATCCGGACTCTTCAAGGACTAGTTGTTGCCATGGTTCAATTTTCAACAATCTTGCTCAGCCTGGCGGCAGTCACCCAAGGCGTCTTCGCCGCCGAGCTGGTGCCCCGTAGGTGGCAAGGGAAGCAGTATGGCTGCAAATGCTACTTTGGCGATACATGTTGGCCCAAGTCTAATGACTGGAATCAGCTCAATGCGACGGTCGAAGGAAACTTGCATGCTCACATCCCTCCCGAAGCTGTCTGCCACAACACCTTCAACGGCACCCTCGGCACAATCCAAACATACGATGCGGCAAAGTGTGCTGAGCTTACTGCTATCTACTCGGATGAGCAATGGTCGTAGGTCAACTCCGTTTATCGTGTTAGCTGTCACATTGAAAGCAGAGAACTAAAGAGCTGATTCTCGTTCAAGAACAGATCAACTGGGTCTTAACCTGTGGAAGTACTTCACCAACGCAACATGTCAGCCTACCGAAAACCCCGAAGAGCCTTGTACGCTGGGCAACTATGGTGTCTATGTTATTGGGGCGACCAAGAAGGAACACATCAAAGCCGGTATCGACTTTGCGAGGGACAACAACCTCCGCCTAATCATCCGCAACACGGGCCACGATTTCATCGGACGTAGTACCGGTTGGGGCGCCCTCATCATCAACACTCATAGTTTCCAGGACATCACTTTTACCGGGCAATGGACCGGTCCCGGTGACTACTCCGGCAGCGCTGTCACGCTCGGCGCCGGAGTCCAAGGCCGCGCCCTGCTGAGGGCAGCCAACGCCCAAGATCCTCCCGTCGTCGTCGTCACCGGTGAGTGCCCTACCGTAGGCGTCGCCGGAGGTCTCGTTGCCGGAGGAGGCCACGGCCCTCTAACGACACTGCACGGCATGACTGCCGACAACGCACTCGAGTTCGAGGCCATCACCGCCGAAGGCGAGTACGTCACCGCCAACGCTGACGAGAATCCGGATCTCTTCTACGGCCTGAAGGGCGGCGGGCCTTCTTCGTACGCCGTCGTGACATCAGTGACGTTCCGGACGTACCCCGAGGAAAAGGCAGCCGGAGGGGTTTTGTATATCAATGGAACCAGCGGAGTCAACGAGACAACTTTCTGGGAGGGAATTCGCGTGTTCCACAAATGGTCTAACCATTTCGTCGACAGTGGTTTGTACGTTTACTGGGAGCTCGGTCCGATGATGCTCAATGTGCAACCGTTTGTGGCGTTTGGGAAGACGCAAGGGGAACTCGATGCAATCATCAAGCCTATGCTTGACGAGCTCAAGGCCAGCAACGTTCCCTTTGAGTCTTCCACCAAAGGCTTCGGCTCATTCTTTGCCCTTTACACGGATCTTTTCCACGACGAACAAGCTGGCACCAACGCCTTGACTGGCGGTTGGATGTTCAGCCACACTGATGTTGAGAAGCGGAACGACCAGATCGTTGATGCTTTCAGGACTGTTGCCACTCCCCGAGAAGGCCTATCTGGTTTCATGGTGGGACATTTGTGAGTACCTTGCCTTGACTTTCGCCCCTGAAGTAAGTCTAACTTTAGACAGTTGGAATGCTGGCCATGCATGGCCGGTGGCAAACAGTGCGACACATCCAGCCTTCAGAAACGCGACCAACTTCATCATCAGTGTCATGCCGGTACCCATTGGCGCCAGTCTTGAACAGAAGGCTGACCTGCAAGACGTTTTGACCAACATTCAGGATGAGGCCTTGAGACAGGCTGGTCCTGATGGATGTACCTACGTCAACGAGGTGAGTTCTGCTGAATCTGGTCATAGTAGGAGGAAGATTGACTGACCATGTTATCAGGCTGATCCCTTCCAACCTAATTGGCAAGACGCTTTCTGGGGCCCGGTCTACCCTACGCTGCTTGAATTGCGTAAGAAGTGGGACCCCAACGGCATCTTTTACGCCGTTGCGACTCCTGGTACAGAAGACTGGGAAGAGATTGAGTACAACACGAGACTCTGCAAGAAGCTGTAGAATAGAACAATTGTGAGATTTGGTTCCTACCTCTAGTCTCCCCTTAGGCACAACATACACGAACCATCATATATGAATTGTTTCATTATCTGAGCAAATGACTACGAAGTGAAACTCAGGATATGAGTTTTTGCCGTCAGCAAAATCTCAGGTTACTGTATCAAACGTATACCAAAGACAACCTGACACGATGTGAAATTATTTGGCGCTGTTCAACGAGCTCACTTATAGTCTTCGTTATCTTTTTAATTGGTTGAACCTTGACACACGTGTATCGATAATGCTTAAGCACGAAAGCAGTCATTGTAGAAGAGATAAACAGACTGATTTCAGTAATTAGACAGTAAGTGTCGACAGAGTTACGTCTTAGGCGATTACAAGTAAGACGCCGCACAGGAAACAACAGCGTACGCCTCATGAGTTTGGTAATCCCCTCCGAGAGATTTCTATAGCAGGCAGGCAATCATCCCACTTCTTCGTCTAAGTCACAAACACTTGTGCCCAGTCGAGTCATAACACCAAGAACTAAATACGTTGAAGGAAGGCTCAAATGATGCTCGTCCGCAATGAATGAATCCAAGGTATGAGGTGTTGCCACTTTCCAGGCTATCAGCATCATAAGTATCCCAGGGTGGCAGAGTCTTTGATTTCTATTCTGACGGCTCGTCTACAGTGAATCTATTCTGGCATCCATGTGAACCAGATGTTTTCCCCGAGCATACGCAATCAAGGTTTGGCCAACTCACGATCTATCACCTTCGTTCCGGACTGGTTGGTACCGGAAGATGCCGCCGCATCCTAGTGACAATTTCCAGATACTCATCATTATTTTCAGAGGTGATGATGTTATGGCGGATGAAGAAGTCGAGCATGACC